ATTATTTTGACGTGATAATATTGTCATTTAAAAACGTCTATAATACGGTTTGAGAGATCATTTTTAGTCAGCTGTTCGATAAGCAAAGAATGTGACAGATGTTTATCTAATGTTCACTTATAACAACTGTGGTTTATGTAACCAACAGATTATTATTTATATACGTTGTTATTTATTTGTATTGTTATTTTTTATGTGCTTTCATCTCAAGCATTTGACTCCTAAGAATAAGCCTTATAGAATTTGTCCTACCATTTTTTACTTACGGGCATTATATTGTTGCAATTATCCTGTTAGTAGGATGATGTTCAAAGATGTGTTAATGAGAAAATGTTGACCCAGATAGCACAGAGATAAATAGAAGGTCATAGAGAATTCTCATAGATAGTTGGCTATCTGTGTTTATTTGTACATTTTTATATATATATACATAAATTTAATTAATTTAATTAAATCTTAAATGGTAAGGTGGATTTTTTCTTTTTTAAATTATATTCTTTTACTATTACTCAAAGTTTATAATCTTTTATGACTTTATCTATTTAATAACAATTAACAATAAAAAAATGTTTACTATAAAAGTTTAAAGATAACGAAATGGAATATGCGGGATTTTATAGATCACACCTCATTAGAAAAAGAGAGCTAGAGGTTAAATTAACAATAAAGGTACGAAAAATATAATTTTATTAAAATTAAATCATTTTATTAAATCATATTATCAAAAAATTATATTATACTGTGTTAAGTATAACACATACAAAGTAACTGATTGAGCAACCGCCGTGTATGGGTAGAACGGGTCAAAATAATCATAAAAGTTATATACCATTTTGAAATTTTCTCAATATTTACTCCGTAATTAATTAAAATGGAGTAACAAGCGATACGTATACATTATTCCGCCTCGAAATCAGCTGTTTACTCATTGTTGCTAAGAGGTAAGCCGTTTCTTTTATACACAGAGCCTGTCTTACCGCTTCTCGTGAGTTCATTCGTTTATACATTTTAATTAATTACGGAATAAATATTGAGAAAATTTCAAAATGGTATATAACTTTGATAATTGTTTTGACCCGTTCTATCTGTATATTGCGGTTGCTCGATTAGTTACTGGACACCCTGTATAGACAAAATGTAAGACGTTTATATCGATCGAAAAAGTAGTGTAGTGTCTAAGCAACAGACTCATAATCCAGAGATGTTTCATGGTCCAAGTTCGAGTCCCAGTGCCAGTGAGAATTTTTAAATGTGATGTAACATTGGAATCAAGTAATTAAAATTTTCAAGTAAAATCAGCAAACACTGTGATATTTATAAATAGTTTTTGTTAGAAAATAGAATCGAATAAGGATATTCTAACATATTCATTTTTACGTCTCTTTATGACGTCATTTTCATGTTTTATTATTGACGTCGGTGAGCTATGACTTATTCCGGTCATTTTCATGTTATTATTACGTGATTATAAAAGAATAATTGACGTCATGACGAATGATAAAAAACTGACGTGAAAGTCACGTCACGTTGCTGCCGAGGCGTATACTTGGACTCTTTCGTGATTTCACGACTTTTTTATAATATTGTTTTAAATTTTTGCGAAGTTTGTTATTTCTTCTCAACACACACACACATACATACACACATACGTTACTTATTAAAGTTTTTTTCAGCTAATTATATTTTCGTAACAACTTTTTTAGGAACACTATTAGAGTAAATTTTTTGTCAAATTAAAGTCTTTTTCAGATAATTATATTTTTGTATAACAACTTTTTTAAAAACACTATTAGAGTAAATTTTTTTTTCAAATCTCTGATATATTTTTTGGACGGTAATTATATTTTTGTAACAACTTTTTTTACGAGTAAATTTTTTTTAGAGAAAGAGATAATATAATATACTTGGCGTTTATTTTTTATTATAATATTACGAATAATATCAATACTTGAGATAAAGGATATAGACGTCTCAATCTCAATGTCGTGAGTTTTTTTATATGCAGCTAGCATTTTTTGCTTATTTCTCGCTTCCACACTTTACTTAACACGCCGGTATTAATAGTAATATTACAAGCATTTGATTCCAGTAGAATAAACTGCGGAGAAGTCAATGCTTTGACCAATCGAACACGCTATTAATTTTATTTTATCTTAATTTTTACATGGTTACCAATAAAAAGAAGTCAATAGTTACCATATGTGGTATAAATATACACAAAGTTGTTATATACGCAATGGTATTTTCATTTGATCTAATTATCTTTTAACCTTTTGTAGAAAATAGAAATCTAAATAATATTATGTTTTAAGGAATGCTGATTACCGACATTATCTATTATTCACTATTCTTCCATAGGGTTGCATAGAATTGAAAATGCTTTTATAGAATAAAAATAAAGATGCTAATGTATGCAAAACAGCCCAGTATAGCATAAAAAACAAACAAAAATTTTATATTTATCTTTCATATTTCCGCTTCGTATAAAAAATGCTAAATGCATGTGTAGAAAATGAAAGTCATTTTGTACGCAGGAGATATTAGTGAATATGATGCAGTGAATATGATGATATATTAGTGAATATGATGCAGTGTCAGGTATATAGGGCATATGTAAGATAAATATTAAATTTTTGTAAAATGGCTTTCCGGACATTAGCCACAATTTGTTTATTTATTAATATTTTTACATTAAAAAAATATGAGAACTTTGTCAAAGTAGGTTCTTTCGAATATAAAAACTTTCATACAAAAATATGTATATACTTTTTTGGAAAAGGTTCACGAAAATTAGTCTTTTTTCGGCCTCCTAACTAGGTATATTCCCTTAAAACACGTAATAATTCCTTACAATTTTCCGCCTGGAAATATAGTAATATAATTAATAACAAGAAGCAAAACTTATAATTTACAGGAATGTAATTAATTGATATAGTATTATATACATATATATAAACACACACACACACACACACAAGGTCGGAATGCTTGTGGGAATGAGTTACTTCAGAAGAAAGAGTTGGAAAGGGAACGACAAGGCTAGACTACTTTCCGCTCACGTCTCGGAAAGGCGTGGCCGAGCCGGATGTTCCAGTTTTGAAGACGAAAGTACAGCAATTAGTCGATTTACGAAATATACTAAATAAAATTTTAGTATAAATATTTTAGTATAATCATAGAATTATCATTATTTTGATTTTATAAATAATATTGTGCATCGTAATTTATCTTAAATATCTTAATTTGAAAACCAAAATATATATTATATTAAGTTATTTGAATGATAATCACAAAACTGCAAAATTTGTACTGTAAAGTCCACTCTTATAATGAAGTGGCACATTTTTTTATTAATAGTAATTACTATTACAGTGATAATCTCTTCTATTGAAATGTTTATAGAACTAGAGATAAATAAATGGTAATAGCTAGTCAATTTAGAGTAGCAAGAGAAGAGAAAGATATATACTTTCATATTATTATTTTCATTAAAAATATCATATTTAAAAATAATTATAGCACGCGTTTGGGAACATATTTATTACATACACGCGCACACGACGCACGCACGTACGCACGCACGTACGCACGCACATACACATACAAACCCATACGTGTATATATATGTTTGTGTTTGTGTTTGTGTGTGTGTGCGTGCGTGCGTGTTTGTGTCGTGTGTGCGTATATGTAATAAATATGTTCCCAACATGCTCTAATTATTTTACATAAATATGATATTTTTAATAAAAATAATATAAAAGTATATCTCTCTCTTCTGTTGCCATTCTAAATTGACTAGCTATTACCATTTATTTATTTCTATTTCTATAAACATTTTAATAGAAGGGATTATCACTGTAATAGTAATTATCATTAATCAAAAAGTGCCACTTCATTAGTAAGAAAATTGTTTACCTTTTATTATTGCAAGTTGTAATCTGCACGAAGCAGTTAAAAATTTACCTTCTAACCTTTTTCTTAAATCGTCGAAAATGTCTAAAGAATTGTAGTTCTGAACAGATCGTTGCGTTAAACATCCTATATATATTAGTTATATATATATATATATATATATATATATATATATATATATATTATATTATATCTCTTTTACTCATTATTATTAACAGATTGGGTTATCTTTCTGTAACTGTTATTAAAATAATAATATAACATATTTGTAACATAAATTATGAAGTTATGTTTTTATATGTATACATCATTACTTTTATCATGTTTTTATATGTATACATCATTATTTTTAAGAAAGAGTATTTTCAAAAGTGGACTTCATAGTACAAATTTTGCCGTTTTGTGGTCATCATTCTTTTATATATTAATGTGTCATATTTTACATACGAAAAATACATGAAGAAACAAGAGCTATCTAATGAGTATCTGGATATAAAATATTTGGATTATATAACATATGTGATAATATAACATAGAAACACTACACTTGTTATATGTTGCAAATTGCCAATGTTATATTTAAGTTACACATTATTGTTATATTATTATAATCAGCAAGTAATATAAAAGTAGATCAGTTTAAAACACAGTTATGTTATTGTTATAAAAGGAGATTAAATGACATTAGCATTAATAACGTAATACAACGCAGTTATATTACGCATTACTTCTAATTTGAATAATATTTACATTCTATATTACACACACACACACACACACACACACATATATATATATATTTAAATATATAATTATATTGTAGCTATGTTATACATATTTTGTGTTTGTTAAAATTACTTTTCAAGACTAATAAGTTATGTAGCGTGTCGTAGAATTTAGATTTAATTTTGTTCATTGATTGTAAATATTTAACATATTTTCGATAAAATATCATCTTAACCGATTCCTCTGTCGGAACGTTATATTTAACGGGGAGTAAAATGTTCGACACAATGGCGCAATAATAACATTTATCCTTGACACTTTTCCCACCGTAACAAACTGTACACACCGAAAGATTTCGAGGTTCTTCGTCGTTTGTTGGATCAAGTATAAAAGTACCGATTGTCACCGGTGATCGCATTCACATTTCGGCACAGACACGGCAACCATCGCACGATCACGCTAAACACAATGGCAGCTAAGGTATGTATGTTCTGTCCAGATAACATGCATGTCTAAAAGACGTTTGTTATAAGGCATTTTTAAGAGCGCATATAACTGTTTATATTACCAATTCTCCATTTAAGCATGCGTTGTTCTAACAAATATAATAACCTTCTACCCTTATAGAAATATCATGCTAAGAATCATTGATAATTACTTATTTTCAGTATTAAAAATACTAGATAATAAGTAATTGTCAATGATTCTTAGTATGATATTTCTATAAGGGTATCGAGAGCCGACACAGTTATATGTTTACTATATAATAGTATTCTATCAAGGATAGTTATACATTTGAATATTATATATTATATAATATGAAAGTCACTGCAATGTGTAGTTATTTTATAATTTTGCTCTTTCTTAAAAATATAAGTAATATAAGTAATGATGTATATATGTTAAAACATGACTTCATAATTTATGGATGTTGAAACAAATATGTTATATTATTATTTTGATAACAGTTGCAGAAACATAACCCAGTCTGTTAATAATTATGAGTGAAAGAGATATAATATATATATATAATTAATACAGAGGGTGTTTAGCGCAACAATCTGCGCAATTCTTTAGACATTTTCGACGATTTAAGAAAAAAGTTGGTAGGTGAATTTTCAACTACTTTGTATAGACTACAACTTGCAATAATAAAAAATTTTGTTATTAAAAAGTGAAAAAGATTTTCTTATCATAAAAAAATTAAGATTATCTTGAATTTTTAAACGACATTATGCACTTTTTTTTTATATAATCCCAGATAGCCAAACCTGCGCGAGCAGATTTTACGCAGAGTTTGTCAACAGTGTCTGTAGACAGAATGGTAACAGATTGCACACAGTTCTGAATCTGTTCTGACAACAGACTGGTGACAGACTGCGCGCAGAGCCTGTCGACAGACAGTCTGACGGCAGATTGCGCGCAGATTCTGTTTCGTAGATAGGCTATTTAATTCAATCAAGGATCATACGTACGCTATTAAATGGGGCAGCTTCACATACACACCATGTAAAACTTCGAGAGGAGTCAAGATAATTATATTGTGCAATAATTGTACACATATACACAATAAAAAACAATTTTTACTTTTTAAAATTGTGTTTTTTATAATAAACAAAATTACATTTCTTATAAAAAAAGCAACAATAATAGAAAAATAACGAGTACAAGTATAGAATAGTACAACGGTTAAATGGCCATTTAAAGGCGTACATCCCTTATAGAAATATCATACTAAGAATCATTGATAATTACTTATTATCCAGTATTTTTAATACTGAAAATAAGTAATTATCAATGATTCTTAGTATGATATTTCTATAAGGAATATGCCATCCCTGGTAAAAATTGTTCTCATAATTTTTCATACAATTTCTCATACAATTATTTTTTTTAATGTCATTAAATCTGAACGATTTAACCGTCATGCAAAAGTACTGAAGGCAGCAGCACCGAATAAAATATTAGTCTCGCCATGTATATAACTTTTACAGAATTTTTGTGATGGTTTATTTGAAAATATATCATGCTTCGATTTTGATAAAATTTAATACAATCTGAAATGGACGATCGACCAAATTAATTCGCATATGTAAAAGCACAGTATTTTATTAGCATGATGGAAAAATGTCATTATCTGCTGTTTTATTGCAGTAATTTTCTATACAGTCCTTGGTAGAAAATTAATTTCGAATTATCGTGCCGGTCTCTCTTACATTATTTATACGCTAACGGTTTCTTCTATATTTTGCGGTTTAAAAGTCAAATAAACTCTAAGATTTTTCTTCCCTAAACTTTAAGTGGGCAATACAAAGCACTTTTTATCAAGTGAGGAATTGGCGTAGTGTCTAAGGCGACGTACGATCTTAAAATCAGAGAAATTCTTAAAAATTATGAAAAAATAATATAGAAAAACTTTTTTTTTCATTGTATTTTACGAGTATTTATGTGTATTTATGAGAAACTGCTTATTCTATAAGTAATTATGAAAAATTGTGAGAAAATTTTCTACCAAAAATTTAATTGAAGAACCTACGAAATGACAGGATCTGCGCGCAATATGCCACAAATCTGATGTCAGAGTCTGTTAGCAGACCCTGTTAGTAGTCTGACGGCAGACTGGGGATGCAGATGACTTTGGATCTGTCGACAGATCCTGCTCGAATTCGACAGATCCTGTTGCCAATCTGACGTCAGCCTGCGTACAGATTGCTTACTGGGAATATATATAGACCAATCCGATAGTTGCCTCGTTTTCCAGATTCATCTACGATAGATTTTTTCTTATAGGGAAAAAAGCTTTTATATATTAAACACTAATTAATAATAATGATATATGATATATTATATAGATATATGATATATGATATAGATATATAATATGATATAGATACATGATAATGAATAAATAATAATGATTAAGTTCTTTGAAAAATATAATTATAGCTTGTTTAAAACTTGTTTAAAAAACAGCATGTTCAAATCATAATATTCAATTGAAAGCATAATAGCTATTATGTACAGTAATTTATGAAAAAAGGCAGATTTTTGCAGAAGGAAGCAAGCAATTTGAACATTCGTTTCCATAAGTTAGAATTTTCTTATTATTTTAATGTTGTAGTCAATAAAAGTGACATTTGTGATAGTGTGTTAAATTCATTTTAAAGCTCTCTACAATATTAAGTAAACAAGTGCATGGTACCATTTAAAAAATTCAAAATTCTGATATGAACAATTTTTTTTATGTTTTATTATTGCAACTTGTGCACGAAACAATTGCAAAATCACCTTTTCCTGAAACTGTCGAAAATGTCTAAAAAATCATGTGGATTATTACGTTGAACACTCTGTGTAGTTAAGATATATCTTCTGTAACGATGCTATTTTATATTTATGTTTTTATTTTTTAATTTCTAATAAAATATATGTAATAAGAATATGCCTAAGAAGATCTGTGTAGATATTATCTAAGTGAGAATTATGGCCAATCAAAGCTACATCGCGCTTCTCAGATACAACTGCTAATTAGAATTATATACGGTTATATTAATAACAAGATCTTTCCGTATATAATTCTAATTGGTAATTGCATCTGAGAACTGCGATGTGATTTTAGTTGGCCTTAATTCTTTTCACTTAAAATATAGTTGCTTTAATTTTTCAAAAAAATATTTTTATTTTAGCTTTTATTTTTTAAATTATATAGCAGCAACTAAATGTGTTGACTGAGTAGTTTTTGTGAACGTCGTGTGCGAAAAGTTTGTAGAAATTTTAAGAAAATTTATAATAATTATTATAAATTATAATAAATTTAGATCGTAATTAGATCGTTAAATAAAACCGTCAATATGTTTGTTCATGTGTCTTAGTCAATTTTCTATTTGAGTTACTGTATCAGATGATTTGTTTTCTATTTGTTAAAACATATTTTCTTCACATTTTATTGAACAGCATCGTCAGCTATTGATAAACTATCATCAAATAATAATTCTTACGTGTAAAGACTATGCCTGTTATACCTGTAAACGAGATTTATCTACGTTTTATTCGTGAAATCTCCTTAGTCATATATACTGTACGCTCGGAATTAGTTGCCCATTTCCGCCGATTCTCGGGAGCTACGCCTTCTATCTTCCTCTTGCCGCGAGCGGACTATGTAAGTGACTATCTCCAAGTTTGAAGCCGCGACTGGCCGCGACTGTCACTTGAGTGGACCGCTCGCGGCAAAGGGAAGATAGAAGGTGTAGCTCCCGAGAATCTGCCGAAATGGGCAACTAATTCCGAGCTCTGATGTACGTAAATTGATAGATTATTTAATATATTATATATCACACAAAACAAATCAAATTTTATATATATGATTAACACTGTCAATATTTGCTCGTGGCTCATAAACAATCAAGTAAACAAAAAATCATTAGCAATATTATTATGACGTTATTTAATAATATGTAATGTTTTCAAATATGTTGCTTTTAATGTTCTGTAGAACATCTTTACAAACAAACTTTAACACTAAAGATTGCAGTAATGTTGAAATTACATATGATGATAATATTAAAGAAAATATTGCATTTATGTCTTTTTAATATTCTGATATCTGCTTTCTCAATATGTACTTGATGTCTCCTATAAAAAATTAAATTACCTATAATTTAATAATTATAAATTAGTTTATCTATAACAGCGGTTTAAAAAAACTAATGTTTGATCACTTCGTTTAAATAACAAAATCTTATATTTCTTAGGTCACTGCATCGCACATTTCGCTTTATACGTTTGTTTCTCTGTTTCGATACCATAGCGTTATTCATCCTTGTTCTGATCATTTTGTCGCTTAACCTCAATGATTAAAAAGGAAATGGTGATGCCGATAAACTATGACGATATCTTTATAAATCCTGTTAACAATACATATTATATATCATTTAAAATATTGTAATAGCATATTTGTTGGCTAATATTGAAATAACGCAACAGAAATTGATATATATCTAACCAGAATCTAACCAGATATATAACGAATATTAACCTATTCAGTGACGATATGATTGCTTTCAAATTTTTAACCGAAAATTAAAATAATTGGAATAAACAATAAATTAAGTTAAAAATACAAGGTATGAAACGATTTAATCCGTCATGAGAAATTTTGTGTTTATCATTTTCGTTAATATTATATACAAAATATTTAAATTATTTAAATTTAAATATTATTTAAATTATTGTGACAGAGAAAAAGTAAATCTTAAAAATATACTTATAACATTCGATTTAAGTAGAATATTGCTGACAAGTTTATTATGTCCTAACTTAGCACAAGATATTTTAGAATTGTCTTACAAGGGGACCGTACGTACCTGATATCACGAATTTTGATGTTTTTTGGATTATTCTACAACACTAATGTACATTATTTGCAAAAGGATTTTTGTCAACACCTCTTCGTTTCGGGGAAAACAAATTTACGAGCGCTTTAT